TTGCAACAAAGCTAGCAGTTGTTCTAAATTGTTTCCCAAACAAAAAATAGTAGTGTCATCTGCAAACATGACATTTCATTACATCAGACACATTAACCAAATCATTGACATACAAAACAAAACAACTTGTGCCCTAACACAGAACCCTGTGGGACCCCAYRAGTAAWTGTCTCTTTTGTGTGGTGAYAAACACCCTCAGGAGTGAGATGCTGAATTGRGGATTTGGTTTTTTGTTAATAGATGATTTTATGGCTGCTGTAAAGTTAATTATAGGATGTAATGTTATTTTAGTATTTATCATCCAATTATTGTCATTTAGCACCAGGAAATAGCCTCTAGGCACTTCCYGATCTGGTCCCAGGTGTTTACATTTATTATAAAATAACAAAAATCAGTCTGTTATTTTTTACATCAAACTCCTGCAAAACTCCTATTATAAATACATTAAAGGTTTTAAAACTACATCAGTTTTAGTCAGTGTATGACTCTGCACTGAGAGGAGACAGCTACAAACCATTCATTGTTTTATTCATGTTTCTGACATTATCACACTTTACACACAGTCAGTTAAAATAAACATGTTTGTTTTTTCTTTAAAGCATCTCATAAATCGTCTTGCATGCTCTGCTGTGTTCGATGAACAGAACTGACCTGCATGYTGAAGAACAAGCTTCTTTTTAATGAGAAATCAGTTCATTGTGGAGCAAAACTGTCAGGCARTAGAACAGCTTGAATCTATAGCTTCTAATTAAACAATTAAATTACAACAAATAAGAAATGAGTTTAAGAWGAAGAGTTTGAGTTTAAACTGGAACCTCGGTCCCTTCGGCCTCAGGAAATGCTCAAATTGCAGAGATTACATGTGTCTGTTTTTAGAATATTTCAACAGATTAAACACGTTGGTCCTGTTCTCCCACATTTCTGCATGCCGGCTGTTTCAAAGCAGYGACATGAAACAATTAAAAACAGGATTCAAGCTGAACTCAGTGACTCTAATTCTGCCWAAAATAAAACCATTTTGGTTTGTACTCTGTCTGTTACCATAAGAAACTTGTCGGTGGAGTTGCTTAAACGTGAAATACAAGGTTTTCAGGTTAAATTCTGATAAAAGAAGCTGTAAARAAAGATTCTGGTTTCTTTAGCTGTAGCAATGGCTTTAATATGTTCTTATCAGCAGGTAAAGTCAGTTTCTCAAGTTATTTTTATTACTGGTGAATAGGGTCGGGCAAAATCATATYGTGTGCAATTAATCATCAGAAAAACTTAAGTCAATTATTTTTTGGCATTTGACGATTAATATGATTAAAGCCACCAGGCAGACTGACTGATGCTCCTCTCCAGTTCAATTATGACAAACATTTTTTTTAAAAAGTGCTGTAATTTATTTACCTTAACTCCAGCTTTACTTGGTCTATCAACAATTTAAAAATTGTACTTTTGACAATATTTGAAACAGATTTTTACGGAGAGTAAATCTTTCCCACTAGAGTGATTTAATTTGGTCATGTGACCAGGGAATGCAGGGGATTAATCRTCATATTAATCGTTCTCGACTAAATATCACAATTAATCGTGATTAATTTTTTTGCCGATATTGCCCAACCCTACTGGTGAATTGAAAGAGGTATTTTTGACTTTTAAAAGCTGAAGGAAAAAGATTGATGAGGTGTAGTCACTGTTACCTGTTGACTGTGGACATGTTGCATTCAGGGCCCTGAGAGTGTACACATCATCATAATTTATGTTTTCTAACATTATCATTTTACAACAATTAGTTGAGTTAAATTCAATTGTTTTTATATGTTTAGTTGTAGTTTTTAAAGACAGCTTGTGGTCCTCGCTCAGTGGTGATTTTTCTTTAATTCCAGTCAGTTAAAATAAACATGTCTCATACTTAAATAGTATAATTTTAAAGAAAGCAAACMAGCAGCTGTAAGTAGGGAGAAATCAAGTTTTCTGTTAGTTTATTTACCTTTAAGTTAATCCTGGTCTTTAAACTCGTTTTGATTAAAATCTTACCTGGATGTGTGCACTTTGATTGGTGACTTGTTCTGTTTTTRCTGCATGAAGGTACAGCACCACTAATCAGAGACAGAATAATTTGACTAATTCTGCATGTTAATAAAACCTCTCACCTTCACTCTGTCGTGCTTCTTGTAGATGATTTAATTTGTTGTGTTTGAGCTCGTGACCCATCTCCACTTTTTTCATTTTGCTCTCTGCCATGCTCTGGTTTCCCATGCAGATTTCAGATCATYTGTTGTTAAGCTGGATGATAATTTCCTCCACCTGCCTGCCACTCGCCTTTACGTTTCATCTCAGTTTGAATGTCAGATTTTCAGAAACACACTCCACTCACTGCAGGGCACACCAAATGGAGAGCGAGAGAGAGAGAGAGAGAGAAAGAGAGAGAGAGAGGGAAGCGTGACTGTGCTTGCTGTATGTTTGTTCTGTGTTTTCACAACTCAGACGCAGCACAAAGAGCACACTGTCAAACATATATTGATCTGTGATCCGTGTAATTAACTACAGATCCGTCAAACGTTAGCGCATGATTTGATCGTTAGCTCGCCGTAAACTTTGGTCATGCTGTAGCTTAAAAATCTCTCGCTGTTTCTCTCTCTCTGTTTCTCTCTGTCTCCAACCCCCCAMCCCCACCCGAACCCTGCGATCCCGGTGTTAGAAACCACACCGAGTCCAAGCCCCACAAGTGCCCCCACTGCTCCAAGTCGTTTGCCAACTCCAGCTACCTGTCCCAGCACCTCCGCATCCACACGGGGGCCAAGCCCTACACCTGCTCCTACTGCCAGAAAACATTCAGGCAGCTCAGTCACCTCCAGCAGCACACACGGTACTGCCACGGCTCCCGTTGACCCACATGTTGTTCTATGTGCATGTATGGGAGCAGGTGTGTGGAGGGTCGTCCTGCTGCGATTGTTTGGACTGTTTACCTGTTTGTAGCATCTGGAATTAGCAGCTGTAGCATCAAGTTGGAAAGGAAGAGATTTTTTTTATTGTTTTAGAAAAACTAAACTGACTTTTTAACCTGTGTTGGACTACATGCTACCTGTAAGACCAGAGTTAGCTTGTAGGAACATTAAACAGCAGCTCATGAAGTCATGTAACAAATKAAACTACTTTGTTTGCAGAAGTGAAAGTAAGAGACTAATGTGCTGCAGGTATTCAGGATAGATGCATGCATTTTTTATTTTAAAGCATCCTAAAGACATCAGAGAGAGAGAGAGAGAGAGAGAGAGTAGAAATAAGCTAATTTAATCTGGGTTGTAATATTAGGAGGTTTAATGTTATTTTAAGTTTTTCTTTTCTTAATTTTTTTTGCAGAATTCACACCGGAGACCGACCCTACAAGTGCAATCACCCAGGTTGTGAAAAGGCTTTCACTCAGCTGTCGAACCTGCAGGTGAGTCGTCCMGCCTCTTACGTCTCTGCTGCTCTTTATTTTGGTCCAACTGACTCTTTCTCTGCGTGTGTCACAGTCTCACCGCCGGCAGCACAACAAAGACAAGCCGTACAAATGTCACAACTGTAACCGTGGTTATACAGACTCTGCCAGCCTGGAGGTGCACCTGTCCACGCACACCGTCAAACACGCCAAGCTGTTCTCCTGCGGCCTGTGTCACAGATCCTACACGTCGGTACGCTACGTTAGCATTCGCAAGTCGAGCAGTTTACAAGTAGCTAAACTCTAGCTAAAATATCAATTTAACCAAATGAAAGTATTTTTGAGAAAAGAAGAAAATCTTTTTATTCTTATGCAAGAAATGTAAATTCTGTTTCTTCTTCTGTGTTTTTTTAGGAGACATATTTAATGAAACACATGAGGAAGCATAACCCCGACCCGTTAACGGTGGCTGCAACCGTAGCCGCCCAGCAGGCCCAGGGTCTGACTCCGGGGACAGGCCGGGGCCGTGGCCGCGGTCGAGGCCGAGGCGGCGGCAGAGGGAGCCAGCTGCAAAACCAGAACAACCCCAACACCAACCAGGGTCCCAATCCCGGACCCCAGGGCAGCTACCAGCCCACCCAGCAGCCCTCGGAGGCCGTGGTTCCCTGTCCGTTCGACCTSCACCAGTACAAAACGGTGTCCGCCAGCGAGATCCAGTACAAACCGGTCACTGTGGGCGAGCTGCCGGTGACCCATAAAGACCTCTGCCTAACCGTGTCCACGTCTGCCATCCAGGTGGAGCACATGAACTCGTAGGCTGCGTCTTCCCGCTCGCTTTGTGGGGTGAGCTCATATCTGCGGTGTAAAAAGCTCCATCTGAACTGATCCTTCATCCTCACGGTCTTCTTTAACAAACAGGACAGAACTGTTTCCACACTCATCACTGAACTCCACAGCGTTGTGTTTATATTCTCTGAACTGCTCTGATGGACAGTTTGAAAAGGGATTGATGCCGTATTGCAATACAATCAGAAGATAAAAGTCAAAATCATCCAAATCTGAAGCTTAAAATGTTGGGTTAGATTACAGATTATCTCCAGGTTCCTCCCAGTAGAAAAGCTAATGTGGTTTAAACATTCATGAAATGATAAAATATGCTTTTATAAGGCACGGATTAGTGTAAATTTAAATTTTTAAGTAGAAATAAGGGAGAGAACAGACAAGCAGTCATTATCAGCTACAGAAATGACAGCGTTGTTCTAAAGCACTGAGGAAAAATAATGAACTAAAAGGAAGCTTGTTTAGGGAACTAAGGTTAATTTCTGCATCTGATTCAAACGATTCATTTTCCACTCATGCTCCATCACAAGAGCCAGGATTTTTTTCTTCCTCAAAGCCCAAAGTACTGAGCAAAAGAAGCCGAGCRGTTCAGGAATGTACTAAAACCTGAGGAATCTGCAGCAGAGCGAGATGGAAACAAAAGAAACGAAAGAGAGAGGAGGAGTCCTAAAGAAAGCACTTGATGAAGCTCGTACTTCAAATCTTTGTCATTGTTTGTTTTTGKTTTGTTTTTTTCATATATATAAATCATACGTTTGTATTTTTCTACCAACAGAGGATTGTGTGAACATAGAGAAAACGTGAGTGCATGATAAGAACAGGGAGACAAATCCCCGGCAAAGTGTCTCGTTCCATTTCTTTTATTATTCCAAGAGCAGCGCTCCTCTTCCTCACGAGTGAAGAGAGCTTGTTGTCGGAGTGGCTGATGGGAAATAATGATTGTGTGGTAAACACAGCTGACAGGTACTGTTATCAACCTTTTTTGTTTTTTAAGAACTTTTCATACATATTATTGCTACTTTTCATTATAACTGTAGTGCAAATGTTATTCACAGTATATCCACTATGAGGCATTATGGTATTGCAGTATGCTGTATATAAAATATAGAAAAGACTTTTTCATCTGTAAAAGGGAAGTATGTCTTGTGTACAAAATATATGAAAAAAAAAACACCTGTGTATAAATTTCTGGTGATGTCCCAGGTTGATCCACGTCGGCTGCAAAAATAATTATAAATATCTGCTTTGAAAGGCTCAAAAGTTATTCATAATGTTAAAATGCTGATTTAAACAGCATTTATTTTAACTTAACCATACATGAAATAGGTTTTAATTTAACCAAAAGAATTAAAAAATATATTTCGGGGTGSTTTACTTAGATTAGTTTCATTAAAAGTATAATTTTGCACATGTGGAAAATGAGTCTCATCCCCCAAATATTCTTATTATCAGGAAAGTCATAACTCCCMTTGTGGTGCTGTTTAAAAGTGAACCACTGTGATCAGAAAGCCCAACTTAAATGATGTAAAATTTAATTTAAAGGGTGAATAAAACGTGACCTGGGACACTGTGTGAGCTGTCTAAAACCAATCAGAAAGTTCAAACAGCCTGTACAACAAGCCGGTCTAAATGTRTAATCAACCTTGTATTTTATTGTGTTTTTATGGAAGAAAATAACATAGCAATGCTCCTGATAATACAGTTATTAACTGACCTCCTATGTTACACTCTTTGCATACTGTATGCACCGTTAAACCTCTTCATCTGAACAGACTGTTGCTTCCTTTACGGAGAATAAAATTCAAAAGCTGTTTATGATGGAAAAACACCACTTTCTGATGTTTTTATTATTACCATCACCTGTATGGGTTTGTCTTTGCTGTTAGCAAAATATCTTGTAAACCARAAGACGGATCTCTGTGCCTGGAAAAAAACAGAAAACCACGGAAAGACTTCAAGTCCAAAGCCGAGGATCAAACCCAGGACAGTTTCATGGAGCCTCGTTAGTGTTTAGATTCACATACAAATTAACCTGGAACTACTCGCCCCTCACCTGAGAGT